CCACAGCCGGCCACAAGATCCTCAATTTTCTCGATGCCTACTCCGGGTACAACCAAATACGAATGAACCCGGATGATTAGGAAAAGACCTCCTTCATCACTAAGTATGGCGTATATTGCTATAACGTAATGCCGTTTGGATTAAAAAATGCCGGTGCCACTTACCAACGCCTAGTAAACCTCATGTTCGAAGAACAAATAGGGAAATCCATGGAAGTTTACATTGACGATATGTTAGTTAAGTCCCTGCGAGCAGAGGACCATTTAAAGCATTTGCAGGAAACCTTGAGTATATTGAAGAAGTACAACATGAAGCTGAATCCGGAATAATGTGCGTTCGGAGTCGGATCAGGTAAATTTCTTGGGTTCATGGTATCCAACCGAGGAATCGAGATCAACCCCGATAAGATCAAATCTACGAGGATATTACGGTAGTGGACAACGTGAAGGTCGTGGAAAGGCTAATCGGGCGCATTGTCGCCCTAGGGCGATTCATCTCGAGGTCCTCCGATAAGAGCCGCCGATTTTTCTCGTCACTGAAGAAGAAAAACTTCACATGGACCCCGGAATGCCAACATGCCTTGGAAGAACTTAAGCGATATCTATCGAGCCCTCCACTACTTCACACGCCGAGGGCAGATGGACAACTATACTTGTACTTGGCAGTATCGGAAATAGCGATAAGTGGAGTCCTAGTTCGGGAAGAACAAGGTACACATTTTTCAATTTATTATGTTAGTAGGACCTCAGGTGAGGCCGAAACTAGAAAAATTGGCGCTCGCTTTGCTAAGCGCCTCTAGGAAACTGAAACCGTATTTTCAATGCCATCATATATGTGTAGTGACAAAATCCAATGTTTTGAGATGGAACATTATATATATATTTGTAAAAAAATAAATATAGATAAAATCAAATATAAAATTTTAGAACATTTTAATTTAGTGGTTAATGAAGTGGGTTGAGAACATAACTCTCATGTTTAAATCTCAACGGAGGCGAAAACGCCAGTGATTTCTTCTCATATGTCCAAACTTTAGTGTACTGAAAAACCTGATAGGTATTGGTGGAGGAAGGTAGCACATATCCCTAGAATTAATTGAGATGCACACACGCTAATCCGAAGATCATGTTATAAATATAAAAAAATCCGAACCAACAATATGTAAAATTCTAGATCAACATTAATATGATGGGTAAGAATCACAAGTTCACAACCAACTATGGATGAGTCGAACTCAAGCAAGCATCAAACTAACATACAATCCATTTGAAGCTACAAGCCCAAATTTCTCTCGATCATATGAGGGTTCGCTATGCAAATAATCCGCTACAGGTATATATTGCTTTAAAATAGAAAAACAAAGAAGATCTCTGTTCTCTTCAATGTCTTCATGTTATCACATGCAAAAGCGATGATCCTGCATTTCAGCAGCTTAATTAAACAACAAATCAGAGGTACACATTTTCAGACTTTAACATCTCATATGGAGCCAGCCAAGCCATTTTCTGTAGGATTTACTTGGATGCCTTCTCATTTTAGCATTACCAACAACTTTGTGATCTGTTTTCTCAGCTAAAGATGCTGCTTTAGTAGTCGAGGCTTCTTCCTGCGAAGTAACAATATTATGTAGCCATTAATTGTTAGGACCGAAAAAAATCAGGTGTCATGCGGAAGCTAGCAAAGCAAACCTTGAACGACGATAAATCAGACAACAAATGAGAAATATACTAATAGAGACACAAACATTTAACGTGATTCGGTCAATTGACCTATGTCCACGGCAGAGATGAGCAATCACTACATAAACGAGAGTTTATGTAGTACGCTAACACTTGTCCCGAAATTCTCCCCCTAAACAAGACTCTCAAGCCCCCTGCGGCTACATTATGGATACTACTGAATGAGAATGAAGGATCTTCAATTTATAGAAGTCTAAACTTTTTCCTACAAGAAAAAGGACTAGACAAATATGGAAGATTTATAATTTCCTTCTACAAGAAGGAAAACCCAATTATGATAAATATGTTGTCCTTTCCTTCAAGAGATAGAAAAACCCAATATGATAAGAAAATATGTACAACACCTAACATTAATTACTACAAGTCGCTAACTAATGCTAGTAATTATTATATGTTTCATCTAATACAATATGTTGAAAATGTATTCAACGTGCTTGGGGAATTTATGCTCTCACTATGTTACTTAATTACAGTTGGGTGTATCATGCATGACATAATTCTTTCAGGATTTTTAAAACTTGAATTACAACAAGAATACGATGTGAGCATTTGAGAGTGATAAAGAAATATAAAGTGTTAGACAATTCTAATTGTGTGTATAATTTGGATGTAATATATATATATATATATATATATATATATATATATATATATATATATATAT